ATAACCAAGAAGTTAAGTGAAAAAGCAGTAGTAAATCTCCCAAAAAAGGATTATTTAATATCATTAGCAACGAAAACTACCTGCCATAGTAACTAAAAATTATGTCACAAAACAATACACCTTCAACTTTTTAAAAATTATCTTTATAATGTGTGTATGCATCTATGTATATTTATGTAGGTACCTTGGAGGAGGAGGGAAATTCTAAAAAGTAAATACTAAAATGTTAGTAATTCCTAAATGGTAAAATCACACAATTTTTATTTTCTTCTTTATGATTTTCTATACTGTCCAAGTCAGAAACACACACTTAAAAACACAATAAATAATAATTTTAAAAAATAAAAATTTTTCAAATTTTGTTGTTGATGTTATTATGCCAACAATTTCAACTTAGTCTAGTAAGCAAGATAATCAAGTCATAGAATGGTTATTTCTTTAGATTAAATTCAGTCTCTCTGAAAATATTTAAATTCTTCTCTTTCTGCACTGTTAAGTGCTATTTAAAAAAAAAACTTGTGCCACCTAGGGACCTTCATATATAAGGATCATAATCAAAACAGGTACTGGTATTCTGCTTAGGAAAGCAATAAAGTACTGAATAAAGCACTTAAGGTATTTCAGAAAGTCTTTTATAAAAACTTACTAATATCAATAATTTTGACTGTGTGAATTCTGATGTACTCCTGATGGAAGCAAAAACTAGAACAAACCCAACAGGGTTGCCAGAGGATAATCTGGCAATATTTATAAAAATCCTTAAAATATTCCCGAGACTATAATGTTGAGATACTCCATAAACCTTGAAATGAAACCACCCCGAGGTCACCTTTTAGCTAAATAAAAGACTGGCTCATAAAATAAAGAATATCACCGGTGAGTACTATACACCTTTAAAAAATCATAAATATAAGACCAAATAGTCAATAATTACTCTAAAGCAAAGATGAAAGGATAGGGAGACACGGAAACCAGATTACTAGAAACAAAACATCTAGAATGGAATGAATGAAAATGTTAACACATTGTGAAAAATGTAACCAATGTCACTGAACAACTTGTGTAGTAATTGTTAAATGGCAACCTAATTTGTCGTGTAAACTTTCACCGAAAACACAATAAAATACTATTAAAAAAAAAAATACATGCGTTGGGGGGTATAATGTTGCGGATGGCATGGAAGGTGATTGTTTCTTACGTGTGGTTCATATGGAAAGCCTCACAACATTAACATTTCAGCACAGCCTCCATGAAATGAAAGAGCAAGGCATGCATATATCTGGAGATAAGTGCTCAAGGCAGAGTACAAAGGGCCTGAAGAGGAAGCGTGCATGTTATGCTTGCAAAATATTAGGGAGGAGCAGTGTGGCTGAAGTGGAGAATGAAGAAGGGCAGAGTGGTAAAAGAGAAAGCAGAGCAGTATAAGGACCCCTCACTTCTACAGGTTCCTTCCAAGACTTCAGAAGAGCTCTAAATAACCTCTTCATATAGTCACGTTTTTATAAAATTTGCAAAAGTGAGGTATTTTAACCACAGATGGTTACGACGACGATCACTTAACATTCTGACTTCCTCTCTCTCACACCTGCCCTACAGGGAATAGTGTTGGGGTGAGCAGAGGCATTTGGGGATCCAGCTTAGTAGAAGCTGAACTGGAGTATGTTTAGCTTGAGTTTAGCAATACATATTTATTAAGTTAATTTCCAGTTGCTTCCAGGTATAGGTAAGTGACTGCTAGCAGTCCAGTAAAGGAGTGTTTTCCAGGAATACTCTCTATCATCTACTGTGCCAACTTACCATGTCATAACACGAAGGTGAAGGAGCAGGGGCCATACTGAGATATGGACATGTCCTATGATGCCCAACCCTAAAAGTATGTGGGTATTGAAAAAGAAACAAGATTTGAAATACACAGAGACGGAAGGTAAACTGTAAAAAATTTTTCCAATCATCAGACATGTAAAGTAGTAAGCAGAGGATCCGATTTTTACCAAGGTCTAGTAGTAAAATGGAAGTTCTCTCCTATCAAGAGAATGAAGTGTATACAGTTATAATTATTATAGATGCAACGTAACTTTGTTTTTCTTTTCCAATGAGAATTGTACTAAACAGAATTTGTCAGAATTCCTGTGTCTGTGAAGCACTATCTGTAACAATAATTCAAAGGGGACAGTTCTGTGTATAAAGTCACATGCTTTTAGTTATTCCAAATTTTTTTTGAAAAAATATTTCAATCAATCATGTAAAAGGAAAGACTGAATTATCTTTATATTCTCTCTATAGAAAATTATATTAGAAAATTGTTGTATGAAAAGATTATCAAAGAGCTTATAACCAAAAAAATTAGGGTGAAAGTATTATAGATGCATTTCAGGTGATTATTTAATAAAAAAATCATGTAGTTTTTTCTGGATTTTGTGATATGCCTGGTATTTATCACCTTTTTAAAAATAATTTTAAAAAAAGGTCATCACTGAAGATGAATTAACATTGGATAGGTTAAACAGCACATTAAACAGATATAGAGATGATTTAACATGGAGACAGATCTGAAGAGATTAACCAAAATTTAGCACAGAGTAGAAAAATGTTAAAGAGCAATGAAGAGACATGGAAAAGAAAATAAGGTTTAAAATACATCTAAAAGTAGTTCCAGAATAAGAGAATATAGAGACGGGGGAGAAGTGAGATTCAAAGAGAGAATACATAAGCATTTAATTCCAGAGCTAACCACTGAAGAAGCAAACTAAGTCCGGAGTAAACTAAATAAAAATAACCGTACATCCTAGTGAACTCAACTGTCTTAGGGTGGGTTCTCTAGAGAAGTAAAACCAGTGAAGCATACATATACATACATACAGAGAGAGATTTATCTCAAGGAAATGGCTCACACAGTTGTAGAGGCTGGCAAGTCCCAAATTCATGGGTCAGGCATCAGGCTGGAGGCTTCTCCTGACTCATGTAGCTGCAGGGGCTGACGAACACAAGATCAGCAGGTCAGATGGCAGGCTGCTGGCAAACGGCCTGCGGAGGCCGACAAAAAATCTAAGATCAGTAGGTAAGACGACTGGCTGCTGGCTCACAGGCTGCAGAGGCTGACGAATCCCAAGATCAGCCAGTAATATGGCAGGCCGCTGGCTCACATCCAAGAATCAGAGGTCAGATGATGATGAACTGGATGCACGATCCAGAGCAAGCAAACAAGCTTTGCCAGAATGTCCATATATACTGGATGCAGGCCACACACCAAGGAAACTCCCCTTACAATTGATTGGCTGATCACATCACAGATGATGACTATCTTATTCCATAATTGCCAAACCACTCGGTATCATGGCCAGCCAAGGTGACACACAACCTTAATCATCACATCAACATACCAAAGACAAATTCTTCAAAAAAAAATCTTAAAAATAATCAAGAAAAAAGAGAGATTACTTTAAAAAAAAAAAAAAAGAAGTAAAACCACACTGACAACAGAGCCAAAAAGTATTTATAGAGAACAAAGATAAAGGATTGTTGTTGTTGTTAGGAGCCATCAAGTTGGTTCTGACTCATAGTGACCCTATGACCCAGAACATCTTCCAAATGCTAGGAAGCATGGTCAATCTAGAATTCTACACTCAACAAAATTATTATTAATTCAACAAATACTTATCCAATGCCTACTATATGCCAGGCTCTATTTAGGTGTTCACGGTACAATGGCAAATAAAGCACAGAAAGTCCATGACCTTGTAGAGTTTATATTCTAGTAAGAATTCTCTAAAGATAGAATAAAGACAAAAAGAAATTCTTTAACTAGCCCGCTCTCTTGGTGTCCTGAAACTTCCATCTTATTGCAATCAGAAGTGCTTAGAACAGACACTTTTCTGCAGTATTTTAAAATAACTTACCTGATGGTATACCCTAGGCTTTCTTAATCAGTGGTGCATGAAACCCTTGAAATTATATTGAAATGAGTGTCTTTCTATACATAAGCAGTTTTCTGTTCATGACTCAAAAAAGGTTAGAACTACTTTTCTCTGACCCAAATCCCCCTCCAGAATAGTTTAGTGCTATATTATGGCTCCCACAGTACCCCATAAATTCATTTTTTTAGTCCTTTCCACACAGTATTATTACTGGTGTCACTTCTCCACTGACTTCTCCACTAGACAGTAAGCTCCATGAGTGCAAGAGCTAACTCTTTCTTGCTTACTAACATCTAGCACAATAATTGGCATATGGGAAGTACAGAGCAAAAATTAAATATTTTATAACTTAAGTGAGTTGTTAAATATATCTCTAACTATACTCCCTTGTTACAGAATTCAAGAACTTACCCTTTGCTAATAAATAATTATCTTTTCATATTTGAATTTTTAAATCTTGCCTATTAAACAACTTAGACACTTTAAAATAAATGTTTTTAAAATACTAACTTGGCAACGTAAATTATATAACCCTGATTATACATTTACCATAAAGAATATCAGAAATAGTATAGAAATATTAGAAAACATTAACTTAATTTCTGTAATCTTAATTATGTTATTAAATGTACTCAGTGTTTGGGGCTAAAGCCAGTGCAGCTTTAACGTCCAAGAAGGACACACATCATATAAATTCATCGCTTTTTCCATAATAAATAGCAATAGAGGCAGAGTGTAAAATGAAATTCAAGAGATATATAAGTGTCTGTATCCAGTAACCTAGCAAACGTGAAGGTCTAAGCTTTAAAAAACCAAAAGAATCATGAAGGGCAGAGAATAGTAAAGGACTTTCCTCCTGAAATAAGTGAAGCAGTTCTATGTGGCAAGAATGAATCAGATGGTATCAAGGCTCATTTAAACTTTTAAGGTTAGTCTTTAATTAAAACAGAGACAGAAAATATTCTCAAATTTAAATGGCCTCCCTTTCTTTTTTCTTTTTTCCTCTGTTGTTTTTGAAGAGAACTCGGTTTTTAAAAAGATAAAAAAGCACAACGAAAGACCTCAAAAAAAAAAAAAACTACTTACCAAGTTGGCCATATAAATTGTGAGGAGCCCTCTCCTGCAAATAATTTTTAAAAAGAGAGAGAAAGAGATAGAGTAAGATTAAGTATCAATTTGACTTAATAATCAATTTATCATATTTTAGAAATCTATCAAAAAAATTATCAGGAGTTGAGAAACTTACTGGTATCTTACAAAAAGGGGTAGCTTATGTGAACTAAGATTTCAGTGCCATAACAGTTCTAAGTAGATGCTTTGAGGCATTTGTTCAGCAGTCATTAATTAAAATTCTGAAAAGAGGAATTTAAAGTATTTTTAAATTACTATTGCATCATTAGTTGTATGATGTATAATTTGAAGAGAAGTATAACTTGCTACTAATCTATGTTTATGCTAAAGAATTCTAAATTTAGTAATAGTAACTAAATTTAGTAATTCTAAATTCATCTGGTCAAAAAGCCAAAGTCAGAACGATTCTGACTAAACGCAAATTCATTAAAAAAAAAAAAAGAAACAAATTTTAGGTTTTCTATTTTTTTCACATACAATGGAATTGTTCATTTCATTAGATTTTATTACAAATCATATTAAATCACCTTGGTTTTAATTTCATTATGTGAGAAGTTAGGTACTAAGTGAATTTTCTAACTCCAAAAGACAAACACAATAGAAAGTCCCTGACAGAGCAGGAGAAAAGCAGCGTGTAGAACTCAAATTTTAGTAAAAAGAACAGACTTAAAGGTCTGACTGAGACTGGAGGGACCTCGGAAGACATGGACCCTGGATGCTTTGTTAGCCCAGAAATGAAACCATTCCCGAAGCCAACTCTTCAGACACAGATTAGACTGGACTATAACACATAAAATGATACTTGTGAAGAGAGTACTTCTTAGCTCAAGTAGACACGAGACTAAATGTGCAGCTCCTGTCTGGAGGCAAGATGAGAAGGCAAAAAGGGACAGGAGCTGGTTGAATGGACATGCGAATTTCAGGGTGGAAAGGAGGAGTGTGCTGTCACAGTATAGGGAGAGCAACCAGGGTCACATAATAACGTGTGTATAAATTTTTGTATGAGAAACTACCTTGACCTGTAAACTTTCACTTAAAGCACAATTAAAAAAAAAAAAAAAAAAAAGACAAAGGTCTATAAACACTCACTGTACAGAAAAACTGCATTTTTACCAAAGTTATTTAATGAAAATCCAGGTAAAAACTCAAAGATAAGGACTATTTTCTGCCCTTAAATCACTTTATTTTGCTTATACTGCATATGAGACAAAGAATGAAACATATCCTCTTCTCTAGGAAAGAGGTCTTTGACATGTTTTAAGAGTTCAAATAAACTTTGAAAATTACAAAAACTTATTTTGGTTTCAATTATGAACAATTTAGTTCTCAAACAAAAAATAATTTATACATAAAACCAATACCAATATCCAGTCACTTTCACTTAAATACCATGCCAGGTCTTAATATTGTCAATGAGATCTTGATGTTGGAGTCAATCATTCAAAGTCCTGAGTCTTCATTATTTAAAATGGCTTAATAAGATTTTGAATATTCCCAAAGCCACATGGAGGCAGTATGATTTAAATGAACAGGACTAAAGAGACATTAGGAAATCAGGGTTCCAGTTAACTTTAATTATCTGGTATGCCATCATTTTGTTATTAAAATGAGAGGACAAGACTAATCATGTAACTTATATTTTTTTAATAAAAAAAAATTTTTTAATCTTACATTTATCAACAATATATAAACCATAATATTGGATCTCCTCTGACTGAAAAGGGAAAGAGGGTCTAGATCTACCAACAAGGCAATACTTCCCCCACCCTCAGGTAACCTCCCTCCTCAGCAAGTCCTAAGGTACCTCAACGAACAACAGAATCCTGGACTCTTCCAAAAAAGAATTTAAAAATCACTGGTAAGATGATCCATAAGGTCCCTTTTATCTCATCTTTTCTGTAATTTCTACTATGGATCAAAATTGTTCTTACTAATCATTACCGATCTTACCAGTTCTTAACCAAATTCCAAATTAAAGATGTTCAAATATTACCTATTTTAGATAAATTACATAAAGAAAAGTTAAGGTAACATCAACATTCAAGAATCACACATACACAGAAGAAAGAAAAGTTAAATGCTTTTCAAGCAAAAATCATTTTACCAAAAGCTAGTTATGTATGAATAACCAAAACCAAACAAAACCCCTTTCCATCCAGTCAATTCCAACTCACAGTGACCCTACAGTACAGAGCAAAACTGCCCCATAGGGTTTCCAAGGAGCAGCTGGTGGATTCGAATTGCCAATCTTTTGGTTAGCAGCCAAGTTCTTAACCACCGTGCTACCAGGGCTCCAGGTTATGTATGAAGAATAGCGTCAATTACAAATTCCAGAATAAAAATATTTCTGTACCTTCAGTGGTAGTGCCTGACAATACATTTCATTAGGAAATATAACGTATGGTATTTTTAAAAACAGCTGTTTCAGTATCCTAAGTCTATGTATAAATATTCAGCAGTAAAACAGCCCTAGTTTCATCACTGGTCTCCATCTATCTGATAATCTAACTATTTATGTTTAACTACAAGGCAGAGATTATCTTGTTTATCTTTACATCCCCACAAACCTGCACAGTACCTGGCATCTGTAAGGTACTAAATAAATGGCTGTTGAATTCTAAGCATATAAAAGGTATAACCATCAAGGTGTTAATAAGGACCCCAGTCTTATAAAATGGAGCACCTTACAGACATATAGTCACCAAAAACAGCTACTAGGAGAAAGGGCTGAGGCCAATTAATGATTCCAGTTTATTAGCAAGCGAAGAAGTGATCACATTACCTTATGTTTGCATAAAATTTAACAATTTACAAGGTGTAATTAATAGTATTAAATCAAATTTTATCCTGTTAATAGTCCTAGGAAGTATAAGGCAGATACTTTATCCTCACTCTATAAGAAAACCAACTATCAAAAAGTTAAGGGTTTTTCTTAAAAATGTAAAAGTAACAAAAACACGTGATGGTTCATCTGACTTCAGTTTCATGTTCTTTCCAATGCACTGTACTGCTTCTGTAACAGAACATCTTTAGACTAGTCAGGTACCTTTAAATTCTGCAATTCAAACCTACTATACAGCCACAGTAGTCAAAACAGTCTGGTAGTGGTACACAATAAACACATGGACCAATGGGACAGAATTGAGAACTCAAAAATAAAACCATCCACAGTTATCTTCAACAAAGGGTCAAAATCCATTAAATGTGGAAGAAATAGTCTCTTTAACAAATGGTGCTGGCAAAACTGGATATCCATTTGCAGAAAAATGAAACAAGATCCCTACCTCACACCATACACAAAAACTAACTCAAGATGGATCAAAGACCCAAATGTAAAACCTCAAACCATAAAGATAATACAAGAAAAAATAGGGACAAACTTAGGAGCTCTAATTTACGGCATAAATAGACTATCAAATATAACTAAAAAAGCACAAGCAGCAGAAGATGAACCAGATGATTAGGACCTCCTGAAAATCAAATACTTAGGTTCATCAAAAGACTTTTCAAAAAAAGTAAAAAGGGAATCCACAGACTGGGAAAAAAATTCTGGCTACAACATATTTGACAAGGGTAATCTCTAAAATTTATAGAAAACTCCAACAACTCAACAACAAAAAGACAAACAAACCCAATTAAAAAGTCGGCAAAGGACGTGAACAGACACTTCACCAAAGAATATATCCAGGCAGCCAACAAATACATGAAGAGATGCTGGTGATCACTAGCCATTAGAGAGATGCAAACCAAAACTACAAAGAGAGTGAAGCATCTCATAACATGGATGAAACTGGAGGACATTAAGCTGAGTGAAATAAGTCAATCACAAAAGGACAAATACTGTATGAGACTTCTATTGTAAAAACCCACAAAAAAGTTCACACACAAAATGTAACAATCTTTGCTGGTTACCAGGGATGGGAGGGATGGGAGGGGTTGGGGGGGAATA